TATATAAATATTATATATATATATATATATATATATATATACTATATATAATATATATATATTATATATATATATATATATATATATATATATTTATATAATTCTATTATATATATATTATATATATATTAAATATTTATATACTATATATATTTTAACTTTATATTATATATATATATATATATATATATATTTTATATATATATATATATATATTATATTTATATATATATATTATATATATATATATAATTTATATTTTGTATATATTTATATTATATATATGGATATATATATTATATATATTATATATATATATATTTATTTATATATATATACTATATATTTATATATTATTATATAATTTATTTACTCTATATTATATATATATTCATATATTATATATAGTATATTTATATTATATATATATATATTTATATCATAAAATATATATTTATATATATATATATATATATATATATATATTTATATATAATATTATATATAGTGTATATATAGATATATATATATATATATATATATATTATATATATATATTGTTTAAATATATATATTAATATATTATGAATTTATATTATAAAATAATCATATAATATATAATTATATATAGTGTGTTTTATATATATATATATATATATATATTATATATATATATATATACATATATATGATATGTAAATATATAATATATAAATATAGTATATATTCATTATATTAATGTAAATATATAATATATATATATAATATATATAATATTATATATATATATAATATTATTATATTTTGTATTATGTTATATTATATATATGTATATATATTTATTTATATATATATATATATATTATATTATATATATTTATATTTATATATATATTATATATTTATATATATATATATATATATATAATTTATTATACTATATATATATTTCATATTATATTTATATGTTATATTTAATTATAGGGACAAGATTGGAGCCCCAGGACCAAAAATTCATTGACGAGTTTTGCAATGATCTGGGATATCTAACGGGCGCAGAAACCAGGACCTGCTCCCTCCCCCAACAACTACAAAAACTCATCTTCGCTGGGGATGGTCAATATTGGAAATTATAGGCCTCAACCGATGCTTCAGAGTGTGTCAGGGGAAGGATAGAGCCGCCTGCTGGCAGTGAGACCCCTCTGCTGGGGACTTTCTGTTGGCTGTTCCCAACTCCAGCATTGGCACAAGCCCGACCCCACAGACCACCGCATGGTGTTTGCCTCTTCGACTTGCCGCCCCTATTCCACTAGCCGAACACAGGTTTTATTTGTGTCAGTGAGAGCAGCAGACCGATTCGGTGCGTACCTTGGTTTGTTTGCCGTAAATCTGAGGGGAAAGATTGCAAGACATGAGGACGTTTAATAACTCATTATCAAGAGGAGCCTCACAACAGCTGGATGCCCAGCAGTAAGGGAGCCCCCCCAACTATGCAGATCTGATGGCAGCCAGAAGCGTCCAGATGGTATCACCCTTCAAGCCTGGACAGATGGGAAGCAGGTGGTGTGGGACTATACATGTGCATCTACCTTGGCTGATACCTATCTCCAATACCACCAGGGAGGAAGGAGGGGCAGCTGCCAGCTTTAGGGAGTCCCAAAAGTCTAGAAAATATGGAGAACTTGCCCATCATTATATGTTTGTTCCCATAGGCTCAGAGACCCTTGGCTCATGGGGAAAGAGTGCATCTAATTTCCTTAAGGAGCTGGGAAAAAGACTCATCAGGGTAACTAGGGATCCCAGGGCAGCTAGTTTTCTGTTCCAGCGGCTCAGCGCGGCTGTTCAAAGGGGTAATGCATGCTGCATTTTGGGCACACGCCCCAGCTCTGAGGAGCTGGATGAGATTTTCGCCTTATAATCGGTGATACACACGTAACAACATGTATATATATATTTATAATATTATATATATATATATATATATATATATAAAATATATATATATTATATATATGCCACCTTTATATAAAACAATGTATCTCTTAAATCTTCTGTGCCATATTATGTAATAAAATATTCCTATTGGTAAATATATATATATATATATATTATATATATATATATATATATATATATATATATATATATATATATATATATATATATATATTAATTAATTAATATATATATTACTATATATATAATGTTCATGCACATAACCATAAATACACATATTGTATACATTGTACGATATTATAAACTACCAAGGAGTGGGTTGTCTCATTTTGTGTTCTCACTTCACCATGGATAATTAAATATAAGAGGTGAGGGCAAGGGAAGGGGAAGGGGAAGGGATAGGAAGAGAATAATATAACATGCAATGTCTATCGACAAACGTCTTTTGTCCTACGAGTCTAACAAATAGGTGGATAGATAGGTATTCTAGCAGAACTAATCGATCGACAGTGTTATGGCGGCGGGATACATTTACAAAGGTTGTTCTTACCGGCTTGAAACTTGAAACTTGTCTAAATATAAGTCTGGTTTTTACTTGAGTTTACTAGATTTTGTCAAGCCGCTGGAGAGCAAAACGTTGCTATAATAAAGTGTCGCATTATGAGGTACGGCTATTCTGCCTCTTGAGGATTGTGAGGTACAGCTACAATGCCTTTTGGATGCCTTAAGGCACAAGAGGCCTGGGTAATGTGTTATGAGGGATACCTCTCTCTCGAATTTTTGAGGTAAAGAGCGCTGAAGTTATACGATTAGGGGGATTCCTTTCTCTGATCACTCAGTGACCTGAGGCAAGTTATTGTAGTCGTAACATTCCGTGCTATGAAGCTGATTTCAATGATATTATTTTGTATCTTCTCGGCTGTTTGATAGATTATTCCTATTACTATTCAGATTATTGAAATTATTCTCTGTTGGTGCATCGTTATTGTTAAAAACTGTTTAGTGTCGTTGTAATAGGAGTGTCTTGTTTTCTGGCTCTGTTAATTAACGGAGTGTGTCGTTTTCTGTTAATGGAACGTGTCGTTTTCTGGCTGTGTTTAGGAAGATGGAATATTACAAATACCCGTTCTCACACTACGAGTGCGAGAATCCTGTGAATCAAGACTGAATCTACTGCATTATGGCAAGTTCTACTCTGCAGTGATTGCATTATGGCTAGTTCTATGAAGATTTTGTTTGCATCATGCATCATTGTTTGCATCCAGTAATTGTTTGCATCACGGCAAGTTCTTTTAATCGATTAAGTCAATGTTTCACGTGGCTGTTTCTCTTACCTTGTGATTGTATGAATTATGACTCTTTATGCTGTTATGTGATTGTTGGAACAGTTTACCACAGAGAATCATACAATCTGTATTTCAGTGAAGATCGTCTTGGTTATGTTTGTCGAATTTGTTCAGTATCGTAGTTTGCAAGGGAACAAATACATCGTAGCCTTAGTTTTTTGAGTGAGAATGTGTTGAGTGTTTTAAGTGAAGAATAAAAAAAAGGTCACAAAAGCGTGGCTGGAACAATTCTAGTTTGTTGACTCCTCGCCACTTGGAATCTGTCGGCTCCTTGCCACTTGCAATCTGTCGGCTCCTCGCCACTTGCAATCTGTCGGCTCCTCGCCACTTGCAATCTGTCGGCTCCTCGCCACTTGCAATCTGTCGGCTCCTCGCCACTTGCAATCTGTCGGCTCCTCGCCACTTGCAACCTGTCGGCTCCTCGCCACTTGCAATCTGTCGACTCCTCGCCACTTGCAATCTGTCAACTCCTCGCCATTCCTAGTCTGTCGACTCCTCGCCATTCCTAGTCTGTCGACTCCTCGCCATTCCTAGTCTGTCGACTCCTCGCCATTCCTAGTCTGTCGACTCCTCGCCATTCCTAGTCTGTCGACTCCTCGCCATTCCTAGTCTGTCGACTCCTCGCCATTCCTAGTCTGTCGACTCCTTGCCATTCCTAGTCTGTCGACTCCTCGCCATTCCTAGTTTCTTGTGAATTAAGTAAAAAATTAAAACAAAAAAGTCACGAAAGCGTTGTTTGGAACAATTAATCAAAGACCCCAACTTAAGAACTACACGGACTGTTGTCTAGTCACAGTTGACTTGACAATGGTTCAGGACATATCAAAAATCATAAGTTTCCCTTGCTAAGTGCTGGGTTTATGGGTGAGTGACTCAGGTGTTTCATCCATTCCTTTCTTAATGAAGTTACGAGCTTCTGTTGTTCTTTGACCTCTCTCAAATTTTTCGACATCTTATTTTTCTATAATTTGGTGACCGGGAAAGCATACTTCGAGTTGGGGTCTGACAGGAGCTCTGTAGTTATGGGTGTTCAGTGTTTTTTTTTTTCTATGAAGCCATGTATCGAGTAGATGGTGGAGGAGAACGTGTGGTAATGAAGCAAGTGTGGTGGTGGTGGAGAACGTGTGGTGCTGGAGTAGGTGTGTGGTGGTAGAGCAGGTGTGGTTGTGGAGCAGGTGTGGGTGGGGTGGTGGAGCAGGTGTTTTGGTGATGGTGGAACAGGTGTGGTGGTGATGGTGAAACAGGTGTGGTGGTGATGAAGTACATGTGGTGGTGGAACACGTGTGGTTGTGGAGCAGGTGTGGTGGTGATGGAGCAGGCGTGGTGGTGGTGGAACACGTGTGGTTGTGGAGCAGGTGTGGGTGGGGTGGTGGAGCAGGTGTTTTGGTGATGGTGGAACAGGTGTGGTGGTGATGGTGGAACAGGTGTGGTGGTGATGAATTACATGTGGTGGTGGAACACGTGTGGTGGTGGAACACGTGTGGTTGTGGAGTAGGTGTGTGTAGGGTGGTGGAGCAAGTGTTTTGGTGGTAGTGATGGAGCAGGTGTGGTGGTGGTGAAGTAGGTGTGGTAGTGGTGGAGCAGGTGTGGTGGTGATGGAACACGTGTGGCAGTGGGAGTGGTGATGGAACAGCGCAGGGAGGTGCCAGGGAGTGCTATATGGGTGAGGGGGCTGGCATCCACTAGTGCCACATCACATTGCCCAGCAGACGGTTCGCTCTGCCTACCTTCCCTCCCTCGTAACCTAACCTTACGACTTCACTTCCCTCATTCCCATGCCCATTCCTGCCACCCACGCCCCTCACCTATTTCTCCAGCACCTCATCCTTTCCGAGAACATCTTGAAACTCATATATAAAATCTTAAAGTTCGGATATTATTGATAATTATGTAAGGAGTGTACAGTGCCTCTCTCAAGAAATTGCTTTCTTTAGTGCCTCGTTCAACAGGTGTCTTAAAGAGCCACGAGTGCCACAGAATAAGGCCCTGGCACACACCTTCGATAACTGGGGTCGTAGCTCGAGGCTCTGACGACCTTGGCACTGAAGGTAAGGTATATAACGGGGTTAGCGATACTTAGGCATGAGATGGTAATGTAAAATGACTCCAATTGCTCGTGAGTGCCTGACCCCTGACACACACACACACACACACACACACACACACACACACACACACACACACACACACACACACTCACTCACTCACTACAGACCAGTCACTAACATGTATAGTATGCAAAGTCATGGAGAAGATTATCAGGAGAAGAGTGGTGGAACACCTAGAAAGGAATGATCTCATCAACAGCAGCCAACATGATTTCAGGGACGGGAAATCCTGTCACAAACCTACTGGAGTTCTATGACATGGTGACAGCAGTTAGACAAGAGAGAGAGGGGTGGGTGGATTGCATTTTCTTGGACTGCAAGAAGGCGTTTGACACAGTTCCACACAACAGATTAGTGCAAAAACTGGAGGACCAAGCAGGGATAACAGGGAAGGCACTACAATGGATCAGGGAATACCTGTCAGGAAGACAGCAGCGAATCATGGTACGTGGCGAAGTGTCAGAGTGGGTGCCTATGACCAGCGGGGTCCCACAGGGGTCAGTCCTAGGATCAGTGCTGTTTCTGGTATTTGTGAACGACATGACGGAAGGAATAGACTCCGAAGTGTCCCTGTTTGCAGATGACGTGAAGTTGATGAGAATAATTCAGTCGATCGAAGACCAGGCAGAACTACAAAGAGATCTGGACAGGCTGCAGACCTGGTCCAGCAATTGGCTCCTGGAGTTCAACCCCACCAAGTGCAAAGTCATAAAGATTGGGGAAAGGCAAAGAAGACCGCAGACGGAGTACAGTCTAGGGGGCCAGAGACTACAAACCTCACTTAAGGAAAAAGATCTTGGGGTGAGTATAACACCAGCCCATATCTCCTGAAGCACACATCAACCAAATAACTGCTGCAGCATATGGGCGCCTAGCAAACCTCAGAACAGCATTCCGACATCTTAATAAGGAATCGTTCAGGACCATGTACACCGTGTACGTTAGGGCCATATTGGAGTATGCGGCACCAGTTTGGAACCCACACCTAGCCAAGCACGTAAAGAAACTAGAGAAAGTGCAAAGGTTTGCAACAAACTAGTCCCAGAGCTAAGGAGGTGTGTTACGAGAAGTTAAGGGAAATCGACCTGACGACACTGGAGGACAGGAGAGATAGGGGGGACATGATAACGACATACAAAATACTGAGAGGAATTGACAAGGTGGACAAAGACAGGATGTTCCAGAAATGGGACACAGCAACAAGGGGACACAGTTGGAAGTTGAAGACACAGATGAATCACAGAGATGTTAGGAAGTATTTCTTCAGCCACAGAGTAGTCAGGAAGTGGAATAGTTTGGGAAGCGATGTAGTGGAGGCAGGATCCATACATAGCTTTAAGCAGAGGTATGATAAAGCTCACTGTTCAGGGAGAGTGACCTAGTAGCGACCGGTGAAGAGGCGGGGCCAGGAGCTAGGACTCGACCCCTGCAACCTCAACTACGTGAGTACAACTAGGCGAGTACACACACACACACACACAACCCATAAACACACAAAACCCACATATATACACACAAAAACACACATGCAGAGGCAAACACAAATAAACATCTGACATTGCACCTGACCCGACACACATGATCTCTGACACGAAGATGACACAGCCTTTACCTCTGACACTCACATGACTTCACGATTATCATCGTACTCGGAACACTCAAAAACGCATTTGATTTAATGTGTACTCACCTAGTGGTACTCATCTAGTGGTACTCACCTAGGGATACTCACCTAGTAATATTCACTTGTACTCAAGTTGGATCTCCATGACGTAGCCAAAATTTGCTGTAATTTGTTGACTCTTCGCCATTCCTAGTTAGATGACTCCTCGCCATTCCTAGTTAGATGACTCCTCGCCATTCCTAGTTAGATGACTCCTCGCCATTCCTAGTTAGATGACTCCTCGCCATTCCTAGTTAGATGACTCCTCGCCATTCCTAGTTAGATGACTCCTCGCCATTCCTAGTTAGATGACTCCTCGCCATTCCTAGTTAGATGACTCCTCGCCATTCCTAGTTAGATGACTCCTCGCCATTCCTAGTTAGATGACTCCTCGCCATTCCTAGTTAGATGACTCCTCGCCATTCCTAGTTAGATAACTCCTCGCCATTCCTAGTTAGATGACTCCTCGCCATTCCTAGTTAGATGACTCCTCGCCATTCCTAGTTAGATGACCCCTCGCCATTCCTAGTTAGATGACTCCTCGCCATTCCTAGTTAAATGACTCCTCGCCATTCCTAGTTAAATGACTCCTCGCCATTCCTAGTTAAATGACTCCTCGCCATTCCTAGTTAAATGACTCCTCGCCATTCTTAGTTTGTTGACTTCTCGCCATTCCTAGCTTACTGACTTCTCGCCATTCCTAATTTGTCTCCTCGCCATTCCTAGTTAGATGACTCCTCGCCATTCCTAGTTAGATGACTCCTCGCCATTCCTAGTTAAATGACTCCTCGCCATTCTTAGTTTGTTGACTTCTCGCCATTCCTAGCTTACTGACTTCTCGCCATTCCTAATTTGTCTCCTCGCTATTCCTAGTTTAACTCCTTGCCATTCTTAGTTTGACTCCTTGCCATTCCTAGTTTGACTCCTCGCTATTCCTAGCTTGCTGACGCCTCCCCATTCCCAGTTGTCTCCTCGCCATTCTTAGTTGACTCTTCACCATTCCTACTTTGTTGACACTTCACCATTCCTAATTTGTTTACCTCACCATTCCTAGTTTGTTGGCTCTTCACCATTCCTAGTTTGTTGGCTCTTCACCATTCCTAGTTTCTTGGCTCTTCACCATTCCTAGTTTGTTGGCTCTTCACCATTCCTAGTTTGTTGACTCCAACATTCCTAGTTTGTTGACTCTTCACCATTCCTAGTTTGTTGATACCTCTCCATTTTCTTCATTATGTCTGGAAGCGTTGAGTTCTAGCTCCACTCTTTGGTCTTCGATTAAGTTATGTGGCTAACTTCCTGCTATTTTTGGCTCACACAGTGTCTGTATGTGTATCCATATTCCATCGTAATGTATTCCATTTGTTCGCTGCCTCACACTGGAGGAATTCTTTGTTATGTGTGGTAGTGTACTGCCTGAATTGTGTTTGTGTGTACTTACCTAGTTGTGGTTGCAGGAGTCGAGTCACAGCTCCTGGCCCCGCCTCTTCACTGGTTGCTACAAGGTCACTCTTCCTGCTCCATGAGCTTTATCATACCTCTTCTTAAAGCTATGTGTGGCTCCCGACTCCACTAAATCATTTCCCAGACTATCCCACTTCCTGACAACTCTGTGACTGAAGAAATAATTCCTAACATCCTTGTAATTCATCTAGGTCTTCAACTACCAACTGTGGCCTTTTGTTGCTGTGTCCCATCTCTGGAACATCCTGTCTGTCCACCTTGTCAATTCGTCTCAGTATTTTATATGTCGTTATCATATCCCCTTTATCTCTCCTGTCCTCCAGTGTCGTCAGGTCGATTTCCCTTAACCTCTCCTCGTAGGATATACCCCTTAGCTCCGGGACTAGTCTTGTTGCAAACCTTTGCACTTTCTCTAATTTTCTTACGTGTTTGACTAGGTGTGGGTTCCAAACTGGTGCTGCATACTCCAATATAGGCCTGACATACACGGTGTACAGGGTCCTGAACGATTCCTTATTGAGATGTTGGAATGCAATTCTTAGGTTTGCTTGGCGCCCATATGCTGCAGCAGTTATTTGGTTGATGTGCGCCTCAGAAGATGTGCCCGGTGTTATACTCACCCCAAGATCCTTTTCCTTGAGTGAGGTTTGTAATCTCTGGTCCCTTAGTCTATACTCAGTCTGCGGTCTACTTTGCCCTTCCTCAATTTTCATGAATTTGCACTTGGTGGGGTTGAACTCTAGGAGCCATTTTCTGGACCAGGCCTGCAACCTGTCCAGATCCCTTTGCAGTTCTGCCTGGTCCTCGTCCGATTGAATTATTCTCGTCAACTTCACATCATCTACAAACAGGAACACTTCTGAGTCTATTCCTTCCGTCATGTCGTTCACACATACCAAAAACAGCACCGGTCCTAGGACTGACCCTTGTGGAACCCCGCTTGTCACAGGCGCCCACTTTGACACTTCGTCATGTACCATGACTCGCTGATGTCTTCCTGACAGGTATTCCCTGATCCATTGCAGTGCCTTCCCTGTTATACCTGCCTGGTCCTCCAGCTTATGCACTAAACTCTTGCGTGGAACTGTGTCAAAAGCCTTCTTGCAGTCCAAGACAACTCAATCTACCCACCCCTCTCTCTTGTTTTACTGCTGTCACCCTATCATAAAACTCCAGTAGGTTAGTGACACAAAATTTCCCTTCCCTGAAACCGTGCTGGTTGTCGTTGACAAGCTCATTCCTTTCTAGGTGCTTTACCACTCTTCTCATGATAATCTTCTCCGTGACTCTGCATATTATACATGTCAGTGACGCTGGTCTGTAGTTTAATGCTTCGTGTCTGTCTCCTTTTTTAAAGACTGGGACTACATTTGCTGTCTTCCATACCTCAGGTAGTCGCCCTATTTCGATAGATGTGTTGAAGATTGTGTGCGCGCGTGCGTGAGTGCGCATCTGTGTGTGTGCGTGCGTATGTTTATGATTACCTCTGTTATCATATATTGATCAGTAATTACAGAAGGAGAGCATTGCTCCCGTCTTTGTTAGTTATTTGCATTTACGGCAGTGTCTTCTGTGGGACTCTTCTATTCAGAAGCCCCGTAGCTCAGTGTTTCACCTGTTAATATCGGGACCACGGTTCGATCCTCCCGTCCACCTCTGTTTATTCATAGACAGTCGTTCATAGAGACTTAAACTGAGTTCACACATACATATATATAAATAAGGAACACTGCAACAGGCCTACTAGCCCATGCGAGGCAGGTCAAATTCTCCTACCGGCTTAAGCTAACGTCAATTAGATCACAGTAAACAGGTG